AGAGAGAGAGAGAGAGAGAGAGAGAGAGAGAGAGAGGCTTAATTGATGTTGGCGGAGCGGAGCAAGTCCTGGATGACGGCGATTTCGCGGTCCATGGTGTCCCACGCATATCCGAGCTGCGAGAGGCCCTCAACGAGGGCGTCAACCTCGATCTTCTTGGAGCTGTGCGTGTAGGGGCCGAGGTTGATCTGGTGCATCTCTTCGAGCTGGCGAAGCACCTCGACGTGCGAGCTGGGACTCGAGTCCTGCGGCAACGCGCGAGGCGTTGTGCCTGGCTGGGCGCCGTGTGCGGACGTCGGGCGTTCGGCAGAGGAATCTTCAGAGTCCTGCCTTTGCAGCGCTTGTGGATCGACAAAAGTCGACGGCGAAGCGTCCGAGCCCGATGCGTCCGCCGAATGCGAGCGCCCATTCATCCTGCTCGCCACCTGCTCGTCCGAGACGCTCGGAATCTTGGCGAGGAACTGGGCGACGGGGAAAAGCTGCGTCATCAACGGCCCACCGGTCTGCAAGATGCCCAGAGGCAGAAGGATGCGCACCAGACGCGCCGTCTTGCGGCACGACACGATGGCCCGCTGCATGCTCTTGTCAAACAGCGCCTTGAGCGAGGCGGCCACGGTCTTGTCTTCTTCCGACACCGCGCTCTGGCCGCCAAGCGAGTGGCTGAGCGTCGCCATGAACGCGGCGTTGGCGCGGTGGCGCTCACCCAGCGCGCGGAAGAGCGCAAGATACAGCAGCGAGCCGCAGAGCTTGGTGCTCACCACCCATCCCAACGGACGGAACGGCTGCAAATTGTCCATCGTCGACCACGCCTTGGACGCACAGCGGTCAAAGAAGAGCATGAGCGAGTCGAGGCTGTTCCACACAGCCGCACATGCGCGTTCCAGCTTGCGCAGCTCCGCCAGCGACGGTCTTGCTGCAAAGCGCGCCGAGCGCGGCACGGGTGCCATGGAAGAGCCGGCGGGACGCTGCCACGAGGGGATCGACGGCTTGAAGCCATCCGACGGATCAATGTGCGTCGCCATGAACCTCGACAGAGCGCCGATCTGCACCATGGTCATGATGACAAAGGTAAGGCCCATCTCGCCGGAGAGCACCACCTCGCCCTTGCGCGAGTTCTCGACGGGCACCGCAGTGCCGCGGAACGACGCCTGTCCAACCACCTCGATCGCCCGGTCCGTCTTCAAGAACGCCTTGCGACGGTTGAGTCCCGAGGTGATCGAATCTCGACACCAGGTGGTGAGGAAGATGCGGTGCGACTGCATCGTGCTGAGCATGTGCTCGACGGCATGGCGGTCGGTCTCGTCGACCACCAGCTTGGTCGTCATGCCCAGCTTCTCGGCATGGTCGCAAGCGGTGTCTGCAAAGAAGTGCGCCTGGACACCGTCGACATTGTCGAGCAGAGGCGCGATGAGGCAGAGGATCTGGACTCCTTCGACGCTGGGCTTCTTGACAATGTCGTACTTGTGCACCAGCGAGAGCGCGTGATTGAGCAGAGCATGGCAGAAGGGCTTGCGCGCCTTGCCGCGACGCAGGTTGTGCTCGACGTCGCCCGGTCGGTAGAGTCGCTTCAGACCTTCGCTGCGCGCCGTGATCCAGGAGCGCGGGCTGATTCGGTTGGCATCACCCGCAGAAGCATCGGCGGAGGGTGGTGCGTCTTCGGCCGGATCATCAGCCTTGCTTGCCTTGCCCCCTTTAGCAGCCAATTTGGCGCGCTTGGTCTGGATGTAGGTGTCGGTGCACTTGATGCGCTTGTCCTCGCATCGGCTGCAGCCCATGCCCTCTGGCCTCTCGGTGACATCGCATCGCACTCTACGCAGACGACAGGTGTCGCAAGCGACTCCCTGCTTGCGCTTGGGTCGCTTGATGCCCGCCTTTGCACTGTCCGGTCCGAGGCCTAGCGACGAGGCGGGCTGGACGGCGCCGTTGTCATCCACCTCGAGAAGCCGCACGGTGTCGAGATCCTTGAAGTCGGGACCAAACGCGATGGGCGCGTCGGTGTAGTGCGCGGCCCAGGCATGCAGCACGGCGAGCAACGTTTCCGTGGTGCCCGGAGTGCTGATCTTGCTGTCCCTGGAGTTGGGCCACACCGTGGAAGTGAGGCCGGCAGTC